AGAATTATCAGAAGTGGAGCAAAGGAAAGCAAAAGGAGAAAGTGAAAAACATGATTCTGTTTGACCAAGCAACTTACGACAAACTTCTCTCTGAGGCTCCTAAGTTCAAATTAATCACTCCTTCTATTCTCTCTGACCGTTTGCGGGTAAAAGTTTCTTCTTGATTTGTGAAAGTTGGAAACTTTTTCTCTTAAAGAATGCATTGCTGACACATTGTGTGTTAGTACTTGATAACATTGAAGAAATGCCTAGTTGATAACTTTTGATTAAGATCTTGATAGTTCTTGATACTTATATAATGCTTCTTTATACAGTAGTGATTGTATGACGAGTGTCGAGGTGATATGAATGATGCTTGGGTAGTGTAGATGAATTCTCGGATAGTGTTGGAAATATCTCTTTAGTATTTGGTGCACAAAACACATATGGCTTTTAGATTTGCCATGTTTATGCTCTGGTGATGAGATTTAATCCGTGGACTGTTGTTGACAAGCTCCTTGGTTGTATTGTTATAGTCTTGAATCAGCATACTCTGAAGTTTTTTAGTGTCTCATACACATTGTTTTTCTTCTTCTTGTTTTCCAAGACTGCCACTCAAATAAAGGAGGCTATATATGATCTTCCGGTTTCGACAGAAGAGGATGACGCGGAAGAAGCAGCTGCATACTCTGGAGATTGCTGCACGCCGTTACAAAGTCCCATGGTAAAAATTCTTTCATGATTCATAGTACTCATTCAACTGAAATGAGCATATTGAACTTGTTATTATATCAAAATTGCGAAATTGAGGAATGATTCGGTTCATTTTCAGGTTCCAAACTGTTATAGACATATTAGTGAACCATGCCTTCGAGAACGTGACAAGGTTCACGTCATACCAGAGACAAGCAGATGAGGTATACTTATACTTGTGCTTTCGTCCAACTACAGTCAAAATTAGTTGTTCTTCTTTTGGAGATTGGCCTCCAAGTCAAGTTATTTATGAACTGCAAAATCGATGACAAAACTGATGTTATGTAAGATATGGATCTTATATTTGATGTATCTTTTGCGTTAATTGTTTTAAACATTCGTTTTAATTTTAGCCTTTCAAATTTGAAATATTTTTTTTTTGCAAACAAGTTTCTAATAAGTGACGATTTTGAGCCTAAAGACATTGAGTAGCCTCTACTTTATCAGTCTTATAAATGTCACAAATCTATAACTGTAAATGTTGTCATAAAGTAGTCACAAATAAAAGACTACAAATGTTGTCATAAAATAGTCGCAAATTAAAAGATTACAAAATGTTGTCTCAAAATAGTTGCAAATGTATGACAGAATTTGGTAATCATAGTTTCGTCACACATATACGATGATTTAAAATGGTCACGGATTGGTTGCAAATAAGTGATGCTT